CAAGAACAATGGCAATGGGTTTTTGATCCTACTGCACGTATTGGCTTTGTGGGAGCCTAGGCAGTTTGGATGCTCACCTTACTAGACCTGGATGGAGGTGGGTGGTCCTTGGACTTCCCACAGGGCAGGGAACCCTGATTGCTCTTTGGGCTGACGAGGGAGGGGGACTTGATTGGGGGAGGGGGAGGGAAATGGGAGGCGGTGACGGGGAAGAGACAGAAATCTTTAATAAATAAATAAATTAAAAAAAAAGATACAATTTACCCCTGTGTGATGGTTTGAGTAAACCCCCCTTGAGGCTGTATGCTTAGTCATCAGGGAGAAGAATTAGTGTGGCTTAGAAGGTTGGAGGTGTGTCACTGGGGATGGGCTGGAGGTTTCAAAAGCCAAAGCAAGCCCAGTGTCTCCCTCTTCCTGCTGCCTGTGGATCCAGTTATAGAACTCTCAGCTATTTCTCTAGCACTGTCTGCCTGCATGCCCCTGTGTTCTTCCCCCTGATGAGAATAGACTAAGCCTTTGAAACTGTAAACCAGCCCAGATTAAATGCTTTCTTTTATAAGATGCTGTGGTCATGGTGTCTCTTCACAGCAATAGAACAGTGACCAAGACAGCTGTGAAGAATATTACGGAAGGTTGGAAAGATTTCATAAATGGCCTACCTCTGAAGCATAAGGGCCTCAATTTGATACCCAACAGTCTCATGAAAAAGCTGAGCAGAGTGGAACAGACCTGTGATCTCAGCTCTAAGAAGGAAGAGACTCACTGGTTAGTCAGTTTAGCCTAACTGGTGAGTGCAATGAGAGATTCTGTCTCAAAAAATAAGGTGGAGGGATTGGGTCAAGATGTTAAGAGTGTATACTGTGGTCTACAAGAGCTAGTTTCAGGACATGCTCCAAAGCTACCGTGAAACCTTGTCTCAAAACAAAAACAAACCAAAAAAGAAAAAAAAAAGAAAAAAAGAGTGTATACTGCTCTTGCAGAGAACTCAAATTTGGTTTACTGTACTCATGCTGGGCAGCTTACAACCACCTATAACAACAACTCCAGCTCCAGAAAATCCCTCTTCTGGCATTCTCTGGCATCTCAGTCATGTGCACATACCCCCTTCCTATACATATTAATAGGAAAAACAAAGCAAAACAAAACACAGAGCTAGAGAAATGGCTCGGCAGTTAAGGCTGCTCTTCCACAGCCCTGAATTTGATTCCTAGCATCAACATGGTGGCGCCAATCATTTGCATTCTAGGTTCACGGGACCTAATGCCCTCTTCTGCCCCCATAGGTACTAGGCACACACATGGTACACCCTCATATACATTAAAGAAAAAAAGGTGAAGAACAATTGAGAAAGGTATCTAATGCTGATTTCTGGCCTCAAGATGCACAGTGTGCACACATACACAACACAGAAAGACAAAGACAAAACAGTAACAACAACGTAATTTTCAGAAATTTTAAAAGAATTAAATGTTCTTTTTTTCACACTTTAGAAGCAATTCCATATTTTTTTTCCCTCAATATCCTAGCAGATCTAGGGACTCAGAAACTAACTGTACATGCTTTCAAAATGATGCCCAACATGCTGGGCACCACGGCACATGTCTGCAGTCCCAACACTAGGGAGGCAAAGCAGAGCTGTAGTCTCAGCACTTGCAAAGTGAGAGCGGGACTGGACTTTCGAGGCCAGCCTTGGATACACAGCAAGTCTGAGGCCAATCTGGGCTCATGAGTCTCTAGTTGAAAAAATAAAATAAAAGATCAGGCTGGGCTTCATAGCAAGACCCTATTTCAAAACAAAACAAGTGCATTATATATAGCTGCTATAAACAGCTATATCCACTTAGCTTGAAATACTATTGTATCCAAGAGCTGTATAATGAAATGGTCTCTTTTAGTTTATAGCAACATCTGAATCCATTCTTTCTTTCTTTTTCTTTTTTTTTTTTTTTTTTTTTTGGTTTTTCGAGACAGGGTTTCTCTGTGGCTTTGGAGCCTGTCCTGGAACTAGCTCTGTGGACCAGGCTGGTCTCGAACTCACAGAGATCCGCCTGCCTCTGCCTCCCGAGTGCTGGGATTAAAGGCGTGCGCCACCATCGCCCGCCCAGCTAGAGGTTCTTGCTATGTAGCCACACACAGCCTCAAACTTGAAGGAACCTTCCTGTTTTAGCTTCCCAAGTGTTAGTGTTAGGATTACAAATGTGTGTCACCATGTCCAGCTTGGGCTTATTTTATGGAGCACTAAGCAACAATGGGAGAAGACCACCTGACTGCTTACTGAAGTAGACCTGTGACCTTCTTTACCTGGATGGACCATTTTGGCTTTCTCCAGGCCTCTGATGCACGCTATCATTTTCTCTTGTAACTCAGCTGGCAGTGTAACAGATAACCCTTGCGGGTAGATAAGGTCAGAATCCATTCCTTCCGGTTCCAACCAAACCTGATGAATACGGTTTGGAAAACGTAAAACCTTAGATTCAATGGAGGGACAGTATCTAGAATAAGACATTGAAATTTAAGGTAAATTCAATGACAAAAAAAAAAGTTTACCTCATTCCTTAAAGAGACCGAGTACTCCCTTCTAGGCCTTACCGGGGTCCTCTTGTAGTTTCCTTAACGTGACTGTTCAGGTGCAGGTTCTCAAGGACAATCTCATCCACTCTGGGGTTGGTATGAGTCAAGTAACATGGCAGTTGATCTTCTGGCTAGAAAATAGAAACCACACAAAACACAGATTTCACTGCCTGCCTGTTTGAGACAGGGTCTCTAGTAGCCTGGACTGGCCTTGAACGCTAGGTGCAGAGAAGCTTCTACTTACTTCCTGACAGCTGTGATTGTGCGTGGGGCACCATGGCTGGCATATAACATTAATTTGCTGCTGCTTCTTTTTCTTTGTTTCTTTTTTCTTTGGTTTTTCGAGACAGGTTTTCTCTGCGGCTTTGGAGCCTGTCCTGGAACATACTCTGTAGACCAGGCTGGCCTCAAACTCAGAGATCTGCCTGCCTCTGCCTCCAGAGTGCTGAGATTAAAGGTGTGCACCACTACTGCCTAGCTATTTTGCTTCTTCACTTACTGATTTGCCTCTTATTCAAATAAAACCTACACAAAACTGACTTACTTTAGCACACATTAAATTTGTGCATAACTAAGTATTCCTGCCAAAAATAAGCACAACTTATGCTGTTGTTGAACCTAAATTTAAGCAAGTTTCTAAATCTAATTATCAGTTTCTAGGAAAGAAGGTAGAGGAAACAGAAAAATCTAGAATATGCTAAGTTCTGGGGGTGGGGGGATGACTTAACTCCTTTTATTATACATAAACACTAGGGGTGCTGCCAGAAAATGGTGGCGTACACCTTTAACCCAGCACTCAGGAGGCAGAGGCAGGCGGATCTCTGTGAGTTTGAGGCCAGCCTGGTCTACAATAGCTAGTTCCAGGATAGAGAAACCGTGTCTCGCCTTTAATCCCAGCACTCGGGAGGCAGAGGCAGGCGGATCTCTGTGAGTTCGAGACCAGCCTGGTCTACAGAGCTAGTTCCAGGACACGCTCCAANTTGCAATGAATGGGAAATCCTCTTCTACCTTCTATCTTTACATAAATGTTTAAAGCCCCTACCACTGGTCGGCCTAAGACCACAGGTACTGTCTCTCCAAGGCTGACAAACTCTTTGAAGTTCATGAAGAATAAAAAACTCCACAGATAAACTGTAGCTTCAACTTCTGCCTGAGAGTTCCATACTACCCTGGCTATGTCCCATGATTTTAGTTACAGTTTCTATTGATGCAAAAAGGCACCATAACCATGGTAACTCTTGTAAAGGAAAACATATGAGGTGACAGCTTACACTTCAGAGGTTCAGTCCATTATCATCATTGGGGGACATGGCAGCATGCAGCTGTACATGATGCTGGAGAAGTGCCTGAGAGTCCTACATCTTGCATACAACAGGAAGTGAAGTTGTGACACTGGGAAGTATTTTAAACATATATGAGATCTCCAAGCTTGCCTCCACAGTGACACACTTCCTCGAACAAGGCTGTACCTACTCCAGCAAGTCCACCTCTTCCGACAGTGCCACTCAGTGTGAGATTATGGGGGCCAATTACATTCAAACTGCCACAGCCACCTAGCAGACTTCAGGCCTGCCAGCCTCTGCAAAGGTATGAGCCAATACTTCTTATAGATCTTTTTCTCTTGCCATATTTATTTGGGTACATGTACTAGCACATATGTAATATCTGTACCAGATTTTATTTATATATGTGTAAATAAACTACCTGTAAATATTGAAATGGGGAAAGAGGGATTTCAGTACGCTAAAAAAAAATCGTACTGGGAAATGAATCCATACTAATGGATCCTTTTCTAATACAAGGAGTCAGTCTGCTTCCACTTTCTAGAAACACATGCAATCCATATGAGCAATACTCTGTGGATAGGGGACAAGAAGAGGACAGGACTCTGTTTCCTCAGTTACTATTTCATTTGGTAAGCCTCAGTTCTGGCGAACAATCTAAATTAGTAGTCTCTCAATTAGCCTTCATTCTTCCAATTCTCAATTCAGGGAGAAGTGAGACATCAGCGTGAAAATGCAAAGAGGACTGAAAACCCAAAGGGTCAGGAATGAAAGGACTGGTTGAATCTACCTGGTCCATAAAGAAGGCAGCTTGACAGATACTGTGACACAGTCCATAGATGCCTTTGGCTACTGACCATGTATGCGGCACAAGGGACCTGCTTGCTATGGAAGAGACTGCAAAGACAACTGTTTAGACAACAAAATGAAAAGGGTTTTGAGCATATGAGATTAGAAAATGTGTGCTGCTACATAAGCCGTTCTCAGAAACAGTGAGATGAGCCCCTGCTGAGTTAGTATATAACTAGCTACTGTCAGGGATACCAGAACATTTTGGCTGGAGTTGCACATTACTGTGAAAAAAAAAAAATGCAATAAAAATGAAACAAAAACTCAAGGAAAGACTCCATTTTTAATCACTGACTTCAAACAGATATTGGAAGTTTCTGCACACCAGGCTGGCTCTTAAGCTAGGAGTCGCTCCACCCATAGAGAACTCCAGTAACACCGTCCCTCCTAAAAATGGCCTCAGCATCAGCCGCAGATGCCAAAAGCTGTTCAAAATGCAGAAGCTCAGACCAGGAATATAGCACAGCTGATGACTGCTTGCCTAGCATGAAGCAAAGGCCTGAGTTTGATTCCCAGCACCACAGTAAAACAGGTAAAGGAGCAGGTGCCTACAATCCCAGAACTTGGAAAGTGGAGGTGGGAGATAAGACATATATTATCTTTAGATGCATAGATGCATAGAAAGCCTGAGGACAGCCTGGGCTAAATGAGACCCTCTCCACAAAAGGAAGGAATTTTAAAAGGAAGAAGAGGGACTAGAGGTGGAAAAGTGAAAGAAGGAAGAAGGAAGGTAGGAAGGAAGGAAAGGAAGGAAAGAAGGAAGGAAGGAGGAAGGAAGGAAGGAAGGAAGGAAGGAAGGAAGGAAGGAAGGAAGGAAGGAAGGAAGGAGGAAGGAAGGAGGGAGGGAGGAAAGATGGGACTGGTTCAGTAGTTAAGAACAGTTGCTTTCCCACGGACATGGTTTGATATCCAGCACCCATGCAGTAGCTCAAAACTCTCTGTAATTATAGTTCTGTGGAATCCAACATCTTCTGCTAATCTCCTTGGGTACCAGACATTCACATGGGCACAGACATAAATAAAGGCAAAACATTCATACACATAAAAGAGAGCAAAAAATAGGAGGTGCAGGAGAGATGACTCAGTAGTTAAGAATGCTTGCTGCTCTTCTAGAGGCTCAGAGTTCAGTTCCTAGCACCCAGAATGGTCAGTTCACAATCTCTTGTAATTCTAGTTCCAAGGGGTTCCAATACTTTGTTCTGGCCCCCACAGGCAATACATACCTCACACTGATACATACACATAAATAAAAACAAAAATGAAATTAAAAAATAAAAGCAAAAGAAGCTGGGTGGTGGCGCACGCCTTTAATCCCAGCACTCAGGAGGCAGAGGCAGGTTGATCTCTGTGAGTTTGAGGCCAGATGGTCTACTGAGTGAGTTCCAGGACAAGTTCCAAAACTACACTTTCTCAGAAACCCAAAATAAATAAGTAAACAAATAAATAAATAAAAGCAAATGAAGAGAAAGATAGATGGTTAGGATACCTCTGCTATCAACAGCCAGCATCAGCTATCAAACTGGGTCATCATAAACCATCTTACCTTGATCCACACTGTTTCATTGAGAAAGCTGAATGGGATGGATGGATTATCTGCTGTGTGCTTGTTTAGAATGTCGAAATTAATGGAATCTTTGGCAAGTCGGGGTGGAGTCCCAGTCTTCAGTCTTCCTACCACAAATCCCAACTTCTCCAGAGTCTGAGCCAACCCTATTGAGGGCTGATCCCCCAAACGTCCTGCAGGATGCATCTCCAATCCAATTATGACCATGCCTCTCAGAAATGTCCCCGTTGTCAGAATTACACTCTCTGCATAAACTGTACTTCCATCTGCTAAATGAGCAGAAAACAACAAAACCAGTAAACTACTAGAACAAGACAGATCTGAATACTTTCTATCAGAATTACAGAAAAACTTCTTGCCCCTAGAAACGTGAGCCACCATGTGGTTGCTGGGAATTGAACTCAGGACCTTTGGAAGAGCAGGCAATGCTCTTAACCGCTGAGCCATCTCTCCAGCCCTGAGTTTAAGGTTTTTCAAAGCCATTCTCTGCTATACTGTTAGAGCCCTGCCCAGGATGTGGGGGGGGGAGGTGCGGGGGAAGGGATAATAAAAAGAAGGGGACATGGTTGAGGCGGCTCAGTGGGTAATGAAGCTTGCTGCCAAGCCCAGTGGCCCGAATTCCATTCCTGGTACCCACAAGTTGAGAGCAGGGAATCAGCTCTCGAAAGCTGTCCTCTAACTTACACACGCATGCACGTCACACATAAAATCACAAGGACAGAAACAAATTTATGACACATGAACCTGGGTAAAAGATAAACCCATGCAGGCTCTGGAGTCTTATGCTAAAACAGTACCTGTGAACCCGGAATTGGGCTGAGACTCATTGAAATGGATCATTATGGATAATTACACTCATGATGGTCAAAATGAAGAGACAGAGGGCTGTTTCCGTAATTTTCCTTATCCGGGCAGAGAAAACAAGAATTTCCCGGCATAGGAAAAACATGTCCATACTCTTCTCTAAAGCACATGTCTCCCAGGGTCTGTTTGCCGGGACGAGCATTATTAGCCAGTACATACCCAAAATAACACCGCTGACCCGGCACTTCCCAGCGTATCCAGGCTCTGCTTCTGTGAGAACTAGATCTTCTACAGCTCCCTCCTGAACAGTGAGCAGGGGCGTATTCAGGATTTCCTTCTGTCAAGAGAGACCACCAGTTGAAAGAGCAGCTGGACGGACCCACAGTCCTTCCTGTCTTCACGTCCGCTCACCTGCATGTTCTGTTTATAAAGCTTCCGATCAATTTGCGCTCTCAGCCCCCACACAGCAGGGCCCTTTCGCCGGTTTAATACTTTGTAATGTATACCAGACTGGTCACAGATCCGCGAACACAAGCCATCCAAGGCATCTACTTCCCTCATCAAATGCCCCTTTCCGATGCCACCAAAGGAAGGATTACAGGACATCTGACCTAAAGAGAACGGACACAATCACGGTAAATAAACGAGCACCTTGTACATATTATTTAATCAAGAGTTGCTCCTCTAGGTAATTACTCATTTACAAAAAAATCTTTTCCCTCTAACTTCAAAGACAGGAGGGAGTAGCAGAGGATGAGTGCCTCATTCCCGCTGTGTTCCTTTAGACCGAACCTTCTGAGGCAGTCAGTCATTCTTCTTCCTGGAAGCCAAGGAACTCTTGATACTGTACCAAATTTCTTTAAAAGAACCATGTTGGCTAGGTGTGATGGGGTACACTTTAAATCCCAGCACTCTGGAGGCTAAAGATGGATGGATCACTGTGAGTTCCAAGCCAGACTGGTCTACACAGCAAGTTTCAGACCAGTCAGACACTGAGACCCTGTCACAAAAAAAAAAAAAAAAATAACAACAGGCCCCAATCATTTCGTTCCAAACTAGGGCTGCTTTTATTAAACTCATTTATCAGAATTATTAATAGGCTTCTGAAATGTTCTTAAATATATATTACTGAGTGAGTTGACAGAATAAAGGTTTTGCACGACTGTGTGCATATGCATTGTGCTGAAGCGACAAGTGTACTTCTACGTTTAAAGAAACATTACTTGCAAGAATCAAGAAACGCGATCACTCTAATGTTCGTCAAGTGACAAGAGATAAAGAGGTGGCGCGTACGCGACCCCGCGAACCAGCAAGTCTTAGGCACGACACTCTCAATGGCGCCGTTGGTCACAAGGGCTTGACAAGCTCTTGGTGAGCGCACTATGTCGCTTAATCGAGCGGGCGTGAAAATGTCACTCACCCTGTCTTTGAGGTTAAGATCCGAGAAGGTTAACCCAGCAACCTAGCGCGCTCTCCAGTCCTCCGCTCCCGCACCCCGCGCACCCACCGCTCTTGCCCACCTCAACCCTGCCCGCGCTCGGTCCGCGGCAGAATCCCCGCCGCGCACCACCCCTGGCCTCGCGGCCGCGCGAGGCCACGGGGCTGCTCACCGATCGTGTCCACGCGGTGTGTGAGGAGCAGAGTCCGCGAGCCACAGCGAGCAGCGGCGGCGGCCGCCTCGGTGCCCGCGTGCCCCCCTCCGATCACGACCACATCGAAGTGCGCGCTGCACGGAGCGGCGCTGTCGCTGCGGAGGCGACCCGAGGGCAGGCGTTTGCCGAGGGACGCCGCGGCCCAGCGGCCACGGGCTCGGAGAAGGAACATGCCGAGGGCGGACAGAGAACCCGAAACGCCCGAGAGAGTGGAAGCCCACAGGGCGCCGCCACCTTGCCCTGCGTCAGAGCGCAGCACGCCTGCGCCCAGCGTCGCCTCTGATTGGCGGTTGGAGTCGCTGAGGCCCCGGGATGGCGCGCGCAGGCTGGGTTTGTGCGTTCTCCACCTGCCGGGTTCCTACGGCGCCGGCTGGGGATTCTGCCTTGAAGGTTGAAGTTAGACCTTTCAGGTGGGCCAGTCTTTATAGCCAGGTTGCCACTCACGAACAATGAGTTTGACCAGTTTGTCTTATCAGGTTCTTTGAATTTGCGGGCACATTATTGTTTGGCCGGAAGCGACACCTCAGCTCCCTGGCACCCCTTTATACAAAGAGTCTGAATTGTTTAGGTGGGGGGCTTCACCCCAGTCCCCTGGCATCCATCTTAAAATGTTGGGCGGAAAACTCTATTCCAAGCTCCCTCCCCTGGGAGTGGCCGCCGTCCAGACGCCACCTACAAGGAAGCCGGCCAAACGGGGACCCCTCCCCCGGGAAGGTCGAGACCACGCCCACAGCGACGGAACAGGTGGTCTCTCTTTTTTCCTTGGCCGTCTTCTAATTCGGTCTGATCTGGTCTAATTTGGATTATTACGCCGGTGGGAAGGTTTACCGGCCAGAAAATACTTAACAATTATGATTTTACTTTGTGAACCTACATTCTGAAATTCGGGTAGCCTTGACAAATTCAAATTACATTTGTGGAGGAACAGCGGGAGCAGGCGAAAGGTGGACTTCAAAGGAGGTTCAATGTTCAATGTTTTGGAGTTGACAGTGTTACACACACACACACACACACACACTTCTCTGGTTGGTCTGTGGTATCCAGGACACAGTGCTAGAGAACGCCAGGTCATCATCCCTGGCTCACGGTGCCTTTTTTTCAGCATGGCAAATTTATCTTGCTTTTTTCTGAGTCTCCTCAGAGTGCTCCACTTCTTCATGCTCTTTTTGTCTACAAGTCCCATCTAACCTCTCTACCTGTCCAGGTAGAGGTCAGTCATCTCCTTTATTAACCATTGAGAGTAATACATATCTATAGTGTGCGAAGCGATCATTCCACAACAGCTTCACAAATAGTTTAAGCCTGGGGCTGGAGAGATAGCTCAGCGGTTAAGAGCACTGACAGCTCTTCCAGAGGTCCTGAGTTCAATTCCCAGCAACCATATAGTGGCTTTGCAATGAGATCTGGTGCCCTCTTCTGGCCTATAGGGATACATGCAGGCAAAACACTGTATACATAATAAATAAATAAATCTTAAAAGAAACATTTTAAGCCTGTAGTTTAAGCACATGATTAACTGAACTACTGTGAATATATATACATATATATATATATTTGGTTTTTCAAGACAGGATTTCTCTGTAGCTTTTGTGCCTGTCTGG